GACTGGGCAACCTACAAGTTGACTGTCAAGAGAAAAGCAGCTAATGTAACCATCTTACTTAATTAATATATGATATGATGTGCAAGATGAGCTCACCATTCATTTGGTTAGAATTTGTTCTCTGAAATAAAAGTAATTAACTCTTTCTTTTGTATCTCTCGGACAGCCACATACGAGATAGCCCATACAAAATTGGTTGAGTTTGAACAGAACACAGACGTCCCGACAGAGTCTGATTCTGCGGAGAACTTGGAAAGGGGGAAGCGCAAAAAGAGGTAAGGCTGTTTGGATATGTATGCATATTGGTGTCGTCTCCCACACACACACACACAGTGACAGTCTATGGAAACACTGTCTGCATTATATGATTATATGCTCAACTGTCACCTGTTGTACAAAATATATTGTTTTTGTATTCTGTACCCAATTATTTCTAAAACACTTCAATTCACTTCACTGTAACTAATGAATTATCTGATTGTGCTGGTATATTTTACAGGTCTAGGAGAGTGATTCTGTCCAGCGAGGATGAAGATGATAGCCCTACACCTCCATTACCTCCATCCTCCCTCAGGTCTGTACTGACGACTCCATTACCTCCATCCTCCCTCAGGTCTGTACTGACACCTCCTCTGCCTCCATCAGGTCTGTGCTGATGCCTCCATTGCCATCATCCACCCACAGGCCTACACCTTCTCTGCTTCCCGCCACCCAGAGTTCCACCCTGACACCTCCTCTGCCTCCATCCCCCCTCAGGTCTGCCCCGACACCTCTACTGCCTCACATCCCATCCTGACAAACAGTGATGCGAGCGAGAGAAACTGATTAGAATGTGTACTTTTCAATCGGCCTGTTTAATTGTCTGATTGAGGTGTCTGTGCTGACATCTTCTTTGCCTCTATCCAACTGGTCTACAATGACACTTTTTTGCTTGTACTCTTTCTTAGGTCAGCCATGTCAACACACGAATCCCCGCAAATGCAAATAAGGGACAACGTCCTTTTTCACATCCTGAAAGTCCTTGAGGGAGTGGTGATACCCTTTCTGTCATCCCAGATGGTTTCCCCCTAAAGACAGTTGGGGAGGTTGAGGTAATGGAGGAAAAACTGTCTGACCCAAGCTTCATGTCTGAACTGGTATGTATGTAAAGTCTATAGTGAAATTTCATTCAGTTTTATTGGAGGGGCTGGCAGTAAATCTGATCTGAGCTGAAACAAATCATCAATAAATTGAACAGTAATCAATAATTCAATTAATTGGCACTTATAGCTTCCTTAAAGCCAAAATGTCCTAATTCTATGATTTCAGCTTCCTAAATAAGAATATTTCGGCCCTCTTTGTTGGCCATAAACCGAGTATCTCTTTGTTTTGTGGACAGAACAAGAGATTTGAGAAGCACCAACGTATTTCAAAATGTTTTACCATTTTATTATTATAGCAACAAATTGATTAATTGTTGAAATACTTAACAATTATACATTAATCTATTTCCTGTCCGTTTACTGTCAATAAAAGCGAGCCATTAGAAGCTGCAAAAAAAAAAAATAATAATAATTTTTTCTTTGTACTGACTTTGTTCCCCCTTAGGTCACAGCAGTGGCAGACATTGAAGGGAGCACTGTGGATGAGGCCACAAGACGTATGATGGTCTTCATCATGGACCATGACCTTTCCAGACAGTATAACTTTGTGGGCCGGAATGGAAAGCGGGAGTTCAGGACTTTAAAGCTGTTTGAAGTCATATATGATAAGTGCATAATGGATTATAACTGTAATATAGTAACTTTTGTCAAGAGAAATTTATACTCATTTATTGGCTATGGTTATTACTGTATGACTTGAAATGGCATTATTTTTGGCTAGAAAGCTTAATTTAATGTAATTGGGATTTTCTAAGGTGCAATAATACGCTCACCTCAAGGACATAAATGTCCCCTTAAAAGAGGTGCTCCAGAAATGTTATCGGAAAAGTAAATGTTTTCAAGATTTTCTTGCACAGATCTTCCAGTTATCTGTTCTTATGAAAAAATGTAAATTGTGTTTTTATTATCACTTGGTTTGTAATTGTTATTGGGTTATTTATTAAAGCCAGATATTACAAAAAAATGTGACAGCCATGGCCAGATGGCATTGAATTTTGATCTTTGTTTTTTCTTTGCTTTTCCCCAGTTCTGACATTTGCAGGTTTGTAAAGTCAATAATGTAAAGGGATACTTAACCCAAAATTACAATTTAAACCTGTGAGTGATTGATATAAAAGTGATCAGTTATGGGTGAATATCACTTCAACATAGTTGACTTTACAATCCTTGCTGAGAGTTGTGTTGGCACATGAAGTAACCATAACCTATTCATGTTCCTGCAGGAGCTTTAAAGAAGAACGCCTTAACCAGCCAGATCACCAGGAAGGATGTGGAGAGGGCAGTTTCCAAATGGCTTATTGGATCAAGGGACAGGGGCGGCAATAGACAGGCCAGACAGGTCCCTCAAGTCCCTCCTTCTCCCTTCTTTTCCCACTATATCCACTTCTTGCTCAGTGGAAGAACATTTCTTATGGGACCTGTTTTTTTTTTTTCTTGATATATAACACTTTCTAGACTGGTTATAATCTGTATTATATTGTGTGTGTAGTGTGTGTATATATCTGATTTAATCTGTAAAATTCTTATTCCATTTGACTTAATAAAAAAAGCTTGAATAATGACATGGCATTTTTATTTTATATAGTGGATAGAGGCAACTCACAGTTGATTGCATCAAAGTCTTGACAAGCAGCATTCACAAAAAATAATACATAATACAATAATAAAACAAAATAAGAACCCACTCCAAAATTAAATCGCCTGTAATAATAAATGCTAGCCTGTGTAGGACATAATAAGGACCCATAATCAGCCCAGGGTCCAGTGTGGGTCCCATGTGGGAGAAAACTGGGTTGCCCGTGTGGGGCCCATGTGAAACCCACCCTTAGCCCATGTGGGCTTGCCCACAAGGGGCCACCATGGAACCCGCGGACAAAAATAGCTGGGGCCCACTCACCAGCCCACATCCAACCCACATGGGCCCCTCATGGGTGTGTTGGCAGGGACATGTAGGTTTTTGGGGAGGGGGTCGTTACTGCAGGGTCCCACCTTCTGATTACGTCCCCTACCTCAATTTTATTTTGCATTTTAGACACTTCCATCTACAACATTTTCACAACACACATCTATGTAGGGCATTGTCTGTGGGGGTGGGAAGTGAATACATGTGGGGCTTAGCTCATGGGCCTCACCTCAGTTGGCTCCCCCTACCCCTTCTCAAGTTGAAACACTGAGGGTTCTGGGTTGTTGATTGGGGGGTTGGGTGCGCTGGGATCTGAAGTACCCCCCCACCCCACACACACACACACACACACACACTCCAATCCGGATTTTAGGTCCACCTTTTGGGTCTGGTTCATCCGCTGATCCCGGGACCGGGATTATTGGATGTGCATCCACTTTGTTTTTTTTTTCAAAGGGACTGTGAGTTGCGGATTGGGACACTAGGGTAGGAAGGTTTGATTGAGACTGTGTATTGTATCTTTAATTTGTTTTAAAATTTTTTGCATCTCTCAGGTTGGAGTCTGAACTGCCCTCTCTCCCAAGAATATCTCAAGTCAAGGATATAGTTGGGGTCGTCTCTCCTCCCCCCTTGGTAGAGGGGTGGATTTCCTTGGTTGGTCCCTCCTGGGCACCTTTGCTCTTGGGGTCCCTTTGGGCATCTAGCGCTTTGGGCGCCCCCAACTCCAGCCTCAGTGCTCTAGAGGGGCGCATCTTTGGCTCTTCACAACCATTATTGAGCATTGTTTCTTTGGATAAACTTTACATTCACAAGGTCACTCTCAAACAACTACAGTTGCTTATTTCCAGGTACTTAGAGATTCACTTCCATACAGAAAGCCCATATTCTTAACTTCAGCTACCACAGTATACATGTCAGATTCAATAGTACTGCTTATACTTCAGCGAAGTGTTACTTTATTTTTTCTTTTATACTATATCAATGTTTTATGTTATCAATGTTTTATTGTTATCTCCCTTTTATATTCTCTTTCTTTAATCCTTTCTCCTTTTTTCTGTTTTTCATTTCCTGTTCTTCTTAAATTGCAGTGTCCATGTAATCAGTAATACTCCCTGCATGAATTATAATAAAGCTATTTCTATTAATAAATCAAGTAGAACACTATGGCGGTAGCCGTACTGCTCCACTTGTGAAAGCAAAATCTGTTGGGCTCCTTTTTGGCATCAAGACAATTATTTGTATTGCCACATTGCCAGACAGGACACTGTAAAAAAAACAAAAAAAACAAAGTAGACCAAACCCTCTAGAAATAAAAAAGAGCAACCAATGTAGTGATTTTTTTTTCTTTTTTGTGCTATTGGACAGTTTGGTAATAATTTACTGTCTTCACCAACCAGTAAGTAAGTGTGGCATAAGGTGTTTGCAGAGACAATTTGGTGCTAATGGACAGTTTATTGAAAAGACAATTTACAGTGTACCCCAATTATATTTTTTATTTTTGACTCAATGTTATGTATGCGTGTGACTGTGAAAACATCCGATCAGCAGGGGGCGCTGCGTCTCCCAGGTATCCGTTGCTGGCGCGTGCAGTTGTGGAGCGAGTAAGACGTCAGACAGTGTGATCAGAGATGAGACATAGCAAAAGTGAACTGATGTTGTTGTTCATGTTTTCACAGGTAAGAGAAAATGTAAAATTCATAAGATACAGATGTGTAAAGATGACACATGATGTGGGCGAACACTGGATAACGTATTGCCGTGCGACTTTAGGTTGGTCTCAACAGTTGAGAAAGGTGCTAACATTAGCACGCGGCTAATAGCTTAGTGTATAACCGGAGCTAACCGACAGTTTGCGGTGGCGTGATGTTAGCATACGGTGGGTCAGTTCATGGGCTCAGTACTAGACTGTTACTAGTCTTATCGTTTGTTTATGATTGTTTATGGTTNTGGTGGGCCTACTGGGGGATGGCCTCGCGTCGCTCCTTCGGGCTGGGCCCGGCCGGGTCCCGCGAGGAAGAACCCGACCACCAGGCGCTCGCCGACGAACCCCAACCCCAGGCCTGGCTCCAGGGTGGGGTCCCGGCTCCGCCGTACCGGGCGACGTCACGTGCCTCGTTTTCCTCGTCGATATGCAGTTCAACAGAGCGAGGCGCGCTCCCGCGACTGGGGATGCATATTTCGGCAGGCATGCACTTTTGGGCATAACACAGGTTATAATCTGTATTATATTGTGTATGTGTATTATGCATCTGATTAAATCTGTAAAATTCTTATTCCATTTGACTTAATAAAAAAAGCTTGAATAATGACATGGCATTTTTATTTTATATAGTGGATAGAGGCAACTCACAGTTGATTGCATCAAAGTCTTGACAAGCAGCATTCTCAGAAAATAATACATAATACAATAATAAAACAAAAAAAGAACCCATTCCAAAATTAAATAGCCTGTAATAATAAAGGCTAGCTTGTGTAGGACATAATAAGGACCCATAATCAGCCCAGGGTCCAGTGTGGGTCCCATGTGGGAGAAAACTGGGTTGCAAGTGTGGGGCCTTATGGGGCTTGTCCACAAGGGGCCCCAATGGAACCCGCGGACAAGCTGGGCTGCCCAGCTGGGGCCCACTCACTAGCCCACATGGGCCCCTCGTGGGACTATTGTCTTTAATCCAGCACGTGCCGGTATTCTGTGAGATAGTATCAATGCAGGATCAATACAGTTTTGGTAATGCTTCAAGGTGCATCTATAACACACCGCTACCACCTAATCAACGTTTAAACGTGGTTTTTCATACCTATTCGATGTAAAATGATCCGGCTGAAATCCAGTTCTTGTCGACACCCAGCGATTTCATCCTCGGACTTCATGGCTATGACTTTATACTCACTGATAATGTCTTCGGCAGCAGTTAATTGTTCACTGCTATCATCTTCATTAGGCTGAAGTGGATACATTTTTACTTTAAACACACAAATTAAATAAAAGAAAACAAACCTGTCTTAAAAACTACTTCTAACCAACGTGAGTGTGTCCCGTGTTTCAATATATCTGTTCCGAAGAAACTGTCCCTGAATATTTGTTCCGCTTTGAATTTCTAATTCCACTAGGAAAATCGTTTGTGTTTTATAAAACAATATTAAATTTGTGTATATACATGTATACTTCATGAAATATAGTAATATTATTTTATTTATAATTTGTTTTTCTTTAATACTATAAATGACGATTTTTCTTTAAATCTAAGGAAAACATGGTATTAAAGACAAAAACAAAATTACTAGCAAAAATATTTTTCATACAAACAAGTGGGCATAAGACAAATTCCTAAAATTATTGCATAAGTCTGACTGTTTAAAAACTTACAGATGAGCCTTATTGCCATCAGAATGAATAGCTTGATTGTTTACTTGTTGTTGTTGTTTTTTTGTTTGTTTTTTTTTTAAACTTTTATGCATTTCTTTCAACATACAATAAACAATAGCAAAACAGTAGTCACAACAATACATTTAAAGCTGGAACTTTAATAGCTGGTATATTACATTTTGTGGCCACTAAAAATAGCTGGCTTAATTTAGCAGGTCTGATAGTATGGTAGGTAAACATTTTAACACTACCTTAATGATTAGCTCCTTATTCCCCCTTAAAAAAAAACATCCCCTAAGGTCTGTTTTTTTTGTTTGTTTGTTTTTTTTAGTTACAAGAAGTAGCTACAGAATGTATATTTTAGGCTATTCAGGTATTCACATATGCTATTATTTGCTGCAATTAACTGTTATTGACATGTTGGTCTCAAAGAAAGCTGCGGACATGCGTTTACCTGGATTGCTTACACCCGGCCTAACATTGTTGCACTTATTGAGCCTGTCATTAAAAATGCTTAAAGCAAGGATCCACTAATCAAATAAGGTCAAACTTGACTTTATATCTTATTCTCAATTTCTAAATTATCTTTTATTTTTTTACACAAGAGTAACAAAGCAATTTCTAATAAAATAGCACAAATCAAGTCAAAAGACCATTATCTGTACAGATAATGGTCTGTGCTTTTAAGAAAGTATGCCCCACCTAATTACGTCAGCTGTTTAGATAAAATAAATATTTCAGAGTTGATAACCTGAATAAATGCAAAAATCTGTATTCTGTAAATTTCTCCAAACCAACCTGAAATATATAGATAGTAATATATTTAAATTAAATAACTAGAGTTAACTAGCATTTCTATGTCTTCTTATTCAAAATAGTTTTTTAATAAATGAACAAATTTTGACATTTTTTATTTTTATTTTTTTATTTCACCTTAAAATAATACTCCTTTTAAACACCTTTAAAGTGATTCAGAATAACCCAAAGAGAAAGAGGAATGTAACTAAAAAGAGAATAATAGATTCATTCTTAGACATTTCTTA